GATCTGGTACGACGTGGCCGTGACGGCGCAGTCGGCAACGGGCGTCTGCCACGGGCCCACCATCTGGTCACGCACGGGTAAGGCCACCGACCGTCCGGTCGCCAATGGTGATGAGGAATGATTTGGAGCCGACGGCCGGCATGCGGAAGACACGCTCCGTCGCAGCGGTGATGAGATGCGCATTGGAAGCGGTGTCGCTGAGGGCGGACTTGAGCGAGGCGACAGCGTTGAATGCCGGCAGGTCAAGCTCGCGCCTCTCAACAACACGCTCGAGGCGGCGGCCGGGAGGGAAGAGGGCGGACATGGGGAGGTCAATGGGCAGGGGGTGCTCAGTGGAGTCACGGTCGCTGAGGATGAGCTTGGAGTTGCCGTTCTCGTCTTCGGCGAGGACGGTGCCGACGTCGGAAAAGGGGCAACGCTCGCGGCCTATTTTTTCGCTTGTTTAGCAAAAGAGCAGTTGCACATGGATCATCCGCAAAGAGAGACACTTACGGCAGATGCTGACGAAGCGGTTCAGAGAGTCCTTGTTGACGAGAAGGACATAACGCTCCTGAGACTCGTTGGCCCAGAGCTGAAGGGGGCTGAGGCTCTTGTCGTCGGTGTGGACTTGACGAAGCTCAAACTTGCCGCCGAAGCCGGCGTCCTTGACGAGTTCGGGCAGAGCGTTGGAGAGACCGCCGGCACCGACGTCATGGATGAAGGCGATGGGCGACTCGTCTCCGAGAGAGACACATGTGTCAATGACCATCTGGGCGCGACGCTCCATCTCAGGGTTGCCGCGCTGGACACTGGCAAAGTCAAGTTCGGCCGTGTCCTCAGTCGAGGCGGCACTGGAGGCAGCACCGCCACCGAGGCCGATGAGCATGGCGGGACCACCGAGAACGATGACGTGGGCGCCATCGTTGACGTCCTTGGGGTCCTTGAGCGCGTGCTGGGGGCGGACGGTGCCGACACCCCCGGCGATCATGATGGGCTTGTGGTAGCCGCGCCACTCGGGCTCGTCGTCGTTGCCGACGTTGGTGAGCAGCGTGCGGAAGCAGCCGAGCAGGCACGGGCGGCCAAACTCGTTGTTGAAGCGGGCGCTTCCGATGGGGGCCTCGAGCATGATATCGAGGCTGCTGGCGAAGTGGGCGGGCTTTCCAATGTCGACCTCCCAAGGGGCCTTCTCGTCGGGGATCAGCAGATCAGAGACCCAGAAACCGCAGAGACCGGCCTTGGGCTTGGAGCCGCGCCCGACGGCGCCCTCGTCACGGATCTCACCGCCGGCACCGGTGGCAGCACCGGGGAAGGGGGATATGGCTGTGGGGTGGTTGTGGGTCTCGACCTTGGCGAGGATGTGAACGACCTCCTTGGTCAGTTTCCAGGAGCCTGTAGAGTAGTCGGGGGCCCAGAAGGCGGCCGTCTCACCCTCGAGGACGGCGGCGTTGTCGCTGTAGGCGGAGACGGTGTAGTCGGGCGTCGTCTTGTGGGTGTTGCGGATCATGCCGAACAGGCTGTCGGCCATCTGCTCGCCGTCGATGGTCCAGCTGGCGTTGAACTGCTTGTGGCGGCAGTGCTCCGAGTTGACCTGGGCGAACATGAAGAGCTCGACATCGTGCGGGGGGCGGCCCTGGCGCTTGAAGACCTCGACAAGGTACTCCATCTCGGACTCGTCGAGGGCGAGGCCGAACTTCTTGTTGTGGTCGCGAAGGCGCTCGAGCGGGGTCTGGGTGCCGGCGGCAAAAATGTCGACAATCTCGAGGGGGTAGCGCTGGCCCTCGACAAACATGGTGTTGAGGTCAGGTTGGGCGAGGCCAATGGTCTCGGTCATGCGGTCGTAGATGATGTCCTTGAAGGGGATGGCATCAGTATCCTTGGTCAGGCCTTGGTCGAAGGTGACGGTGATGGCCTGGCCCCTCTCGATGCGCTCGATCTGGTCCTTGAGGCCGCAGACGTGGGTGATGCTTGTACCCTTGGACGACCAAGGGGAGATGTTGCGGGGCGTCACATAGTACGTCTTGGTGGTGGGCGTGTTGGAGGGCAGATCGGCGGAGGCCTGGTCGGCGGGCATCTCGAGCCAGCGGACGAGCTTCTGGGTGACGGTCTGCTTGTCGCTTCCCTTGAGGTGGACGTAGTAGATCCATTTGCCGGTGAGGCTGGCCACGGGAGACTCGAGACCGGCGTGCTTGTTGATGCGGCCCTTGAGCTCCTCGGCCTGGGTCGGGGTGAAGGCCGGGCCTCCGATCAGCGTGAGGAAGTCCATGGCGCGATTGAGTGCAGCCAGCGGGCGAGGCCGACGGGCGTATGGGTTGGACGCAAAGTCGCGGTGAGTTCGCGAGGCGGGATGGATGGTTGTTGAGGATCAACGGGAGATGGCGGAGAGGGGAGGGCTCCGACTCATCAGAAGGAGGAGGGACGAGACGAAATTTTGGCGGGGCAGTCGCAGTCGGAGTCGGAAGGGAAGGAAGAGAAGGCTGCA